CGGGTCCCCTCAAGCTCTCCCGCGTCTCCTACTACGGGATGCCCAACCTGGCCACCCTCATCCCCAATGTCCAGCAGGTCCAGTACTCGCAGGGGGAGCGGACCAGCCCCGGCGCCAGCAGCATTCCCACCACCGACAGCCCCACCTCCTACCACAACGAGGAGGACGAGGAGGACGACGAGGCGTACGACACCATGGTGGAGGAGCAGTACGGGCAGATGTACATCAAGTCCTCGGGAGGCTACTCTGGTAATGGGTGCTGTCTCTCCTTGGGTTTTCTGTGCGTGCTCGGTCCTTCTCCAGCCAGCACGGGTGGTTCTGGGCTTGCACATCATCAGGCTTTTGTCTTCAGGGGCTTTGTTTATTTACGTAGCGTGGTGCTGGGCGCTGGTGCGTGGGTATGACATGGGCAGGTCCAACCGTGCCACTGCTCGTGGGCTGTGTCCCCAGCTGAGAGGCCCTGTGGGTAAGAGAGGCTGTGTCACCCACCACGGCTGGCTCTGTCCTTTGTTTTCTGGCTGAGGTGGTGATGTGAGCTGTGCGGTGCTGGCACCGTCCCACGGCGCTGCCTGAGCTCACCTGCTGCAGGTCATCTGAGAGGGATGGTCACCCTTGGGAAGGGCATTGTCACCCCTTGCCAGCCTGGCAGTGGTGGGGTGGTCAGGCTGGGAGTTAGTCTTCAGCGAGGTGCAAGGCATGTTTCCTGTCCTGGCCTTTCAGAGTAAGATTTTCTTTAAAGTGATGAACATCCCACGATTGGAGGAAGGGAGAAAAACAACAAATAAATCATTTTCATGGATGTTAATTAGAAGGATGTGCAAAAAGATGAAAAGAAGGACATTTTTGCCGAGTGCCTGAAGTGACCCCTCTTTCCTTTGCCAGCCTTGCCCAGAGCATCGCTGTCACAAGGGGAAGAGCAGTTTGGGGACCTCTTGATACTGTTTTATTTCTGTATGAGGCGAGTCTCCAGACATGCCTTAGAGGTGGCTTCACTTTGGTGGTGCTTGGCCAGAAGCTGCCAGCTCATCCCCGAGGTGGGCACGGGCACACAAAGCCCCTTCCTTCTCACTTCCCACACCAGAGAGGGCACCGTGCAGGACTTGGACTCTGTGGAGGAGCAGGAGTGGGGTACGGGACCAGGGGCTGAGGAGCGGCTGGGGAGATGCCCAGCTGGGTCACTGGAGCAGCAGCATCCCGTGGGGAGGACTCACCCTGGGCACAGCAGGCTCCCTGTGGGAGCTGCAGGTGTCTGTGGCAGCAGCTCAGATCCACGGGTGCTCCCTGGGGAGGGACATCTTCCCTCTGGCTCTGGCCATGCAGAGCATCCCTCTTGTCTGGAGCTGCTTTCCCTGCTGCGGATCTGCGCTGAAATTGCTGCACTAATTTTGCAAATATTTTAACTCAGTTTGTTGAAGAGCTGGCGTGCTTTCCTCAAAGCCATTTGATTTTATTCTTATCACGGGAGATTTGACAAATACAACCATTTCTGTTGCCTAAAACCAGGCTTCCCCTAGTACAGAGAACAAGCTCATCCCCATAGCTCAGCCCAAAGAGCGTGTGCCCCTGCCAGGTAGCGAGCAGATAAGCAATATTTTCCAAGCATTTTTACCAAGCCATGTGCAAAAAAGGGAAAGCATGCCGATAGCAACGTTACTATTTTAACATTAGAAATATTTGCTGAGAAAAGCAGGCAAGGCACTTGTAAAAATTGAGCCTCAGAAGCCTGTCTGCTCTCTCTGCTGTGTTTCCAGTGCCCGTGGTCGGTACCGGCTGAGTGAGGAGGAGTGGGGTCAGGGGATGGGGACCAGTTGGGGTCTCCATGGTCGCTGGGTGCTGTCAGTCAGCCCACTGGAATGGGGCTGTTCTCCTGCACCCCGCTTTGGGGTTTGTTTTGCTTTGTGCTTCCCACTGCCGAGCACGGGGTGAGTCCTGTGGGTTTCCTTCAGCGCCGCTGTTCCTCGGAGCGATGGGGTTGTACCCTTGGACAGGGGGTTTTCCTTCGCTGTCACAGGGCCAGCTCATGCAGCAACAACACAAAATCCATCCAGAAGGCAAGGGGAGGAGAAGTCCCCCAGGACGAGGCAGGCAGCAGGTATTGGGCTGTGCCCAATTCTTGAGGTACAGGACTCATCCCGGTTGGAAAAGTGGAAATCCCAGCAGCTTTCTGGGGCTTTGCTGGAGATGCTGCAGCTGTCCGACCCTCACGCCCAGAGCCGAGCATCCCATAGGGAAGTTTTCCTGCTTGGTTTCTGTAGGAGGAAGAGCTGAACCACTTTGGGATGCCAAGTCAGGGGCCATGCAGGGAGGAGGCAGGTCGGGAGTGCAGCACTGCCCAGCCCCTTTCTAAAGCTCCAATATGTCACATTTCTGCTAAAATATCACTTCCACAGCAGCGTATTTCAAGGGAGCTTCCTGTCTTAAATAAGCCAGCTATAGTATCAGGCTTCCTGGAAAAGAGGGCATACAAAAAAGAGATTAAAAAAAATAAAACCTAAGCTATTCCATTATGGTTTGAACTTGTAGAGCTAACTGTGTTTTAATTACTCGGGATAAACTGTACCCTCAAAAGGTGCAGAATAATAAAACCATAAGATGGAAGAGAGAAGCCAGCTAATCCTGCTCCTGGCATGTAGATCCCGACAGCCTTACAAAGGCCTGGGGGAAGGGGGAGCCCTTTAAAACCATCATTGCCAAGGTTTCCAAGAGCCCCGTTTGTGAAAACAAAAACAAAGCCAAAGAAGAGCACAGCAGATGAAGCCCTGAATTTCAGAGAGGGTTCTTTTTTTTTTCCCCTCCTTTTTCTTTGCTTTTTCATTCCCCAGCTAAATTGATTGACTGAGATGATGGTGAGTGTGTGGTGGGATGCTGGTGGCTGATGTTCTTCACTTCCCTTGAGTGTCTTTTGCCTTGAGCATCACCCACTTTAAGTGTCAGCTGCTGCCCCTGAGGCTGGGACAGCATGGGGCAGGAGAAGGTACTTGGCAGCACCTTGCCAAGCTCAGGAGGTCATGAAACCTCCTCTTGCCCCAAGGCTGGAGTTCTTTTGTTTTTGTTCACCCTTTTTTATAGTCAGAACCACCCTGAATCTCCAAAGCTGTGATCAGAGAGACAAGGGGCACGTCATCACCTTGGCCAAGGGTTTGATGGTGGTGGAAGGAGCAAGGAGGAGATCTTAAGTGATGTGCCTCATGCAGCAGTGGCACTGGTATGGTGGACCAGGACAGGTGTTGGATTTGCAAAAGGAGCAGCAGATAAATGGAAGGATAAGCCCAGTCTTGACCATGGGCTGATGGGAGGGTTAAATTTAGGTATTGGTAGACAGGGTGGCAGCTTGCAGAGGGATGTAGGAAAGGTGCCTCAGCTCCCACTGGCCACGTTCTGTGGCCACAGTGTCACCACCGCTGTCCTCATGCCCTCCTGCTGCTGTGGCAGGCTGGGAGCTGGTAAAATGGCTCCTTCTTCTGTAACTAGGTCTGGCTGTGGAGAGCGTGTGGGCCTTGAGGACACCAGTGAGACTTAATGAGGTTCCGAGCATCTGATCTGAGGAGCGCACAACTCCAGAAAACATTAAACAAAAGCAAAGTATTTTTATCCTCGTTAATTACAGCGTCGTGGGCTCAGGACTTGCAGATGCTCAGAGCTTTTCGGCGTGGCTGTCAGTCAGCTTGCTGCTGAGCAGATGCAGTTCATTGAATTTTGACAGGCACAGGCAAAGTTGCAGGAGGGTCTGTGCCCCTCCCCTGCTCCTCCTTTGCTGCTTCATGGGGGAGAGGAGAGATCTTTGTGCAGCAAATGGCTGGAGTGTAAAGGCTGGGCTTGAAAGTTATGAAATCCCGAACTGACAAGAGTACACTTCATTAAAAATTCATCTAAAATAGCCATTATAGAATAGTTGTGGTAATTAGCTGAGAGAATAGTTTTCTCTCCTGGCCTCGGATTCCTGACAGTAAGGAAAGAGGGCAAGGAACAACCCAGAATCCGTGATGAGCATCCCTGGCAGCATCCAGAACCCAGCCCGGGAACGATGGAGATCCCCAGCATGGCCCATCCCAGCACAGGGGCTGGGCTGGATGGTGCTGAGCTGCCCAGGAGGGCACAGCCCCACGCCAGGGGTGCTCAGCCTCTGCCCTTTTTTGGCCTTAAACTCCCAGTCCCCGTTTCCTCACCGTAAAACACAGATGTTTAATTTTAGGCTGGCAGATGTTTCACTCCTGGCTGCGGTGCGAAGCGAAGGCGAGATAGGGGTATTTATAAAGCAGTAAGGGTTTTTTTTCCTACACTAATTCCAGATTCCCTCCCTGTATAAATAGGTCACAAATCAAATCTCACCCTTCCAGTACGTGGTTCTGAATGTACTGTTTGTAAAACGTGGACTGCCCCGCGGCACGTGCGTCACCCCTGCGGGACAGGTCCCGTTGGCAGGAGGATGCTGGTGGTGCCAGGGCTGTGGCAGGGATGCTATTTTTGGGGTCGTCCCACTGCCAGTGGAAAATAGGCTAATGGGAGAAAAATGTTTGTAAAATATTGCTGTTTGAAAAGAAACTTCTCGCTGTAGAGATAGGACAAGAGGAAACGGCTTCAAGTTGTGCCAAGGGAGGTTTAGGTTGGATATTAGGAATGATTTCTTCCCCAAAAAGGTTGTCCAGGCCTGTCCCAGGGCAGTGGTGGAGTCCCCATCCCTGGAGGGGTTTCTAAGCCGTGGAGATGTGGTGCTGAGGGACACAGGGCAGTGGGGACCTGGCAGTGCTGGGGGAATGGTTGGACTTGATCTGAAAGTTCTCTTCCAACCAAAACAGTTCTGTGGTTCTCTAGAGAACAGGGGAGAATTGTTCACATAACTGGTGGTGGAGCAGGTGGAGATGGTTTTGTAACCATTGTGGTGGACCAGGGCCTGTGACTTGTGGTTTCATGGTGAGGATCTGTAAATGTTAACTTTCCCTAAAACAGAAATAGTTGTTCCTTACCCATGGGAAAATGTTGAAGCTTAAATATCATAAATGGTCAAGTGGAGAACCCAGACTGGTGGAAATTGATGGTTCATGAATTATTTTGAAGCCCTGGTGTTTGGATGGTCAGGAACTAAGGACATAAGTGAATGGTGGAGCCAGATGTGTGGCCAGCAGTTCCCAGCACTGCCAGACCCTGAGCACTCACCGGAGCAGCTTGGTGCCCATCACTGATGAGAGTCAGCAGGAGTGGTGTGGGCTCAGCATCTCTGGTCCCAGGCAACTCAGGTCACACATGAAAACATCCTGGCATCACCAGAACCTTTGTGGGCTCAGCCAGAGGGTGGTGTGATGGACCTGTGAGCCAGACAGTGCGTCCAAGGAGGACACATACCCCCAGCATCATGCAAAGCCTGGAGCTGGGAGCACTGGTAATTCCTGTGACTCCAGTTTCCCTCCAGGAGTGAACCAGTCAGCAGGTCTGAGGCTGCTTCCTCAGCCAGAAAACCCTGGATATTTCCCATTTGGGACCACTTGTTGCCAGATGCAGCATCCACATAAGTTTGGGATGAAAGTATCTAAAGGAACAAATGAAATACAGCAGTGTTTGGCTGGCAGCTCTCCTTGCTTCCTCTGTAACGATTTCCTGCCCATCTCCTCTAGCTGGTAGGCTCCTTTCTTGGTCGAGAACAAAACTGTACTAAACAATACTTCACATTGTTTGCCCTTTCATTCAAAGGGAAGGAGCCGCTGCCCTCTGAAGATACAAATTAATTAGAAGCGAATACTATCCTGTTCTTCAGAGCATAAAGGCCAAACAGACTGGCTTTCTTTGAGCACATGGGACCAAAGTGTCTCTTGTATCCTGCTTCTTTACATAACCGATGGCTATCTGCTGAATTGAGGTGGCACTGAAAGGCCTCAATCTTCAGTCGTTTTTGTTTGGTATCGTCGAGTTTGTGCTTAGTGCTGTAAAGGAAACAAAGTCCCCAAAAATGATTCATGCCCGTGTTTAATAAGAGCTTCATAGAGAGCCAGCCAGCAGGACAGATGTAACCAACACAGAACAGTGGCTTGAGTTACCCTTGGTCTCCTGAGCCCCAGTTTTAGTTTGGTTTGTGAAGTAGTAGAGTTCACAGAAAGAAATGCAAAGTTTTTGATGGCTCCAGGTGTAGGAAGTGAAATGTCTTTAAAAGCAAAGGATTTCTTCAAGGCAGGGTTGTCACCAACCAGTGTGGCGGCCTTGTCTTCCTAAAAAGCTGCTTTTCTTTCAAGAAACAGGTTTGACACCAAAATCTTCAATGTTTCTCCAGGAAGGCAGCATGAACACACAGCTTGTGCTGATCCTTCTCTTGCTTGCCTCATTATTGCTAGCTCAGGATCTCTTTGGCCCAAAAAATGCTTTTTTTATTGAATGTTTGCTGACAGAAAGTGGTAGAGCAGGTCCGTTTGTCATTGTCTGCTGTAGCTCTTTGCCTCTTGGATGTTGTAGGTAGAATCATTTAATCATTTAGGTTGGAAAAGACCTTTAAGATCATTAAGTCCAACCATTAATTTAAGGTTGTTTAATTTCTTTGATGGCAGCAGTCTGGATGAAGAAGCAGGCAGGAGGAGGGCATGGCTGGTGGCCATTCAAGTCTGAGCTCTTCTGTCCCAGCAATATTGGGTCACAAGCTGCAAGGACCTTCTGCTGCCCTCTCATTTGGGGTATTGATTGCAACTACTTTCCCTGGAGACCCGTGGCCGTTATATTGCTTAAAAAAATAACTAAGAAACTTTCTGAGAATCCATTTCAGTCTGCCCAGCTTGCCTTCAGCAGCTTAACAGCTGCTGATTTTAGGTGGAGATGAGTATCGTGGGTACTCTTGACCTGAGTCATTAGTTAAAAGGAAAAATAAAATCTAAAAAATGCAGTTTTGCACAGCTTGAGCAGAGCATTGTGCTTGTGAGGGGCTGCAGTGGTCGGGCAGCTGAAGTGGTGGCTCCAGGGAGAACCTGGCACTGCCAACGATGCGCTTGCCCTGAGGAGCTGCTGCAATGAGCAGGAGCCCCGTGCCCAGGCACAGCCTCATCCTCGCCTCACAGCTCAGCCATGGGCTTTTAGCACAAAAAGCTGTTGCCAAATTCTGATTTCCCCCTGATGGCACCGTTCTCCTATCTTTTGTTGCTGCTGCTGGGGACCTTGGCTGTCCCAGGCTGGTTTCTGGGATTTGGCAGCAGGATAGCTCGTGTTTGGTGTATATATAGTTCTACCTTTTAGTTCAGGCTCTGTGCAGCCTGCAGAGGGCTCTGGGTGGGAGCTGATGATGGTGATGGCCATTCCTGCCTCTTCCTCTGCCCTCCACGTTGGCATTCATTTTTCCTTGGCCCTTGTGCTGTGTCCTGCCCGGGTGGGGATGCCATGGCAGAGCCAAACAGCCCAGGAAGGACAGCAGAGCAGGCTCTCCTTGGGCACTGGTTCCTCCACCCCCAGAGCCCCTCTGCTTCTGCTTTGTGTAAAATAAAAAACAGTATTTAGTTGGGGACAGTGCTTTTTAGCAGGGCCTGTTGCAACAGGGTGATGGTTTGAAACTAAAAGAGGAGGGATTTACACTAGATAGAAGGAAGAATTTGTTTAGGCTGAGGGTAGTGAGCCCCTGACCAGGCTGCTCAGAGAGGGTGGTACAAACCCCATCCCTGGGACCATTCCAGGTGAGGTTGGCCAGGGCTCTGAGCAACCTGCTCTGGCTGCAGATGTCCCTGCTCCCTGCAGGGGGTTTGGATAGGATGACCTTGAAAGGTCCCTTCCCACCCAAAGCAGTCTGTGATTCTAGGATTAATTGGGTGGACATTGCTTATCACTCTTTGAAAGCATCAGAAAGGCAGCAGGTGTTGGAGAAGTTTCCTCTGTGTGAGCAGAAGATGACTCCCATCCCCTCTCTAAGGAGAGGTGCCTGGATGCTCGGGAGCACTGTTAAACAGGGAAATGTTGTGGTTGATGAAAATTCTGTGTGTCACCACGGCTGCACATCAGCACTGCAAGGCCCTGCCACTTGCCACAGACAATCGAGCCGTGACGGCAAACAGAAGTTAAATTTTCAAACTTCACATGAATTAACCACAGAAGGAAACGCTGCTCTGCCCTGGTGTGGCTCCACGAGCAGAGGGGCATCCTCCTGGTGCTCCTGCTTTGTGGGGAAGGTGGGAATGCTGAGGGTGGGGATGCTGCCAGCCCCGTGGCTGTGCTGGGATGCCACGGCACAGCACGGCGGCGCGGGGCATGTCCCAGTTAGAACACTGCTCCCATTGTGCAGGAGCCATCGCCCCTCGGTTACTGCAGCAACAAGGCTGCAAAACTTGTTATTTTATCTAGGGAGAGGAAAAGTGGCCCCCAGAACACCGAGATAATTGCAGGAAAAGACACCTCTTGAGCAGGAGATATTTTGAGCTCAGGAGGGCTAATTGCTGGGGTTTTCTTCTTGGTATTCACAGATATGGAAGCACGGAGCTGGGGTTGGTTTTATGCGTGGCACTTGCCACGTTATCGAACAGTTTTGGGGAAAAAAGTTGGATCACTGTAGAGCTGGGCTGCAATTCAGAACCATAACTGCTCCCAGCACGTCCCAGTGTGGCTGGAGCTGATGCACACCCCTGTTAGCCCTCTTTTGCTGTCAAAAATTGTGATTTTAGGCAAGCCTGTGGACTTGTGCTGTAAAAGTCCTTTAGAAAGTGAATTCTCTCTACACCCACAAAACCAAGACGTGGGTGGTGCTGGTAGGACAGGTTGATACTTCCAGCTTTTCAATGTGAACAGTTGCTAATGGGCAGTGGTGGGCTCCAGAGATGGTCTTGGGATGGTCACAGCTGCATCCGGGCAAAATCCAGTGATTTGGTTTTGAAGCCACAGCTTAATAACATTTTTAGGCTTGTTTGTTAGGGTCTTTCTTGCTATTGAGAGGAGACGTTAGCCTGCAGAAGGCAGAGTAAGAGAAGTCACTTTGGAGGGTGAGTTGGAGCTTCCATCCTCGCGTGAGGCTGCAGTGACCTTTCTCAGTGTAGTGGGCATCTCCACAGTCTGGCT